TTCTGTATAAACGAATACATTTTCTGTATAAACGAATACATTTTCTGTATAAAGGAATACATTTTCTGTATAAACGAATATAGTTTCTGTATAAACGAATACAGTTTCTGTATAAACGAATACATTTTCTGTATAAAGGAATACATTTTCTGTATAAAGGAATACATTTTCTGTATAAACGAATATAGTTTCTGTATAAACGAATACAGTTTCTGTATAAACGAAAACAGTTTCAGTATAATGAATGCTGATTTGTTCTTCGTAGTCAACATATGAACATTCGCAGCACGAATGTTCTGACATTCTTCATACACAACATTCGAAACATTCACAATTCGTGACGCGTAATGCCAGACTCGCACGCCCGACGTTCGCCTTGACATTCACATTCATGTATTCAGCACGCGTGTGATATTCACATGCATTTTGATGCATCACGCTGAGGAAATGAATACGCCTTTCACTGCACGCATTCATGGCCCGATGATAATGTATGCAATGCATTAACGCAGCAGATTCTCATTTTGTTAATGTAATGCGAGAACAGACGAAACTTATTTGGTAATTTTAACTTTAATTGCTAATGCTGACATATGTAAATGATGATATTTATAGTGGGGCTGAGGGTTGGGAGGGTGGTGGGGTTGTAGGGTGGGGGGGTGTAGGGTGGAGAGGTGGTGGGGCTTTGAAGAAGGGGAGGTGGCGGGGAAGGATGGGGTGGGGCAGTTATGGGGAGGGATGGAATGACCCAGTAACCCCGCCTAAGGGGCGTGGGAGAGTGACGGGGAAAGAAAGGAGTGTGTGGGGAATGAGGAGTTTGGGGAGCAATACGTGGGTAATGAGGGCAATGGTATGACATCGGGGGAATGAGGATGGGGGTTGCTGGGGTGTGATGTGTGGGGTATGAGGTCTGCATAGCGGCATACCTTGGGGAACGGGTTGACAGTTGCAATGGGGCTCCTACAAGATTACATACCTCATTACTTACATGGGCTATTCCTACCTTAACTAAACAACCTGCCTTTCATACCTCAGATACATATAATGTAAATAATATCTAAGTCAAATATCAGGCCTCAAATTTCCACACATTAATTTCTAACACATGAATAAATTCTACACAGTAATCCCTAACACATTAATTAATTCTACTCATTAATTTCCAAACGCTTTCAGTTTAAATTTCTTCAACTTATTTTCATAAAGTTAAAATAATTTAAGAGTTAACCACTTCAAGTTTCAATTGGCTGTTGCATGCAAGCCAACGCAGGCGTTCGTTATTGCGTAGCGTCGGTGTTGCGTCACTGCGTTTTTCGGTACAACGTTGCCACGAAAATCGTGTAGAAAATTGCGTATAACGCTCAGAACTGCGTTAGTTGTGACGTCATTCATACATAGCCCTGTGTACGTGTGTGTTGCGTTAGTTGTGACGTCATTCATACATAGCCCTTAACCGTATAGAGTAGCGACATAACCGTATAGAGTAGCGATGTAACCGTACGCTAAATTATTCAAATAATTTTTGCTTAGAACCTTTACGCGAATCTTGTCCAGATGATTCATTATTGGACAGAAAACCTTTTATAAGAACCTTTTCAATCAACATTTCATAAGAACTTTTTGTGGAAATCACTGTAGAAAGTTTTCTCTGTAAAAAGTTTTTATAATAAGATTTTGTTAAGAGTTAATAAGAAAACCTTTTATACGAATGTCTTTTTGGAACCTTCCAGAAAAAGATTTTTTATATGAATTTTTTATAATAAAATTCTATTAGAAGCTGTATAAAAACCCTTTTTAAAGAACATTCCGTAAGAACTATTAACATATCTAACCTTGCTCGCCTGCCACGCGTGGACGGTTAACCTTGAACAAGCAGACGCCGCCTCGCTGATGCGTCTAACCTTTGACTGCGTCGCTGTCTCGGTGACTTAACCGTTAAAAAATCTTGATTTTAGCTTGCTAAATTTTTTATTTCAAAAATTTTCATTTTAAGTTATTAACTATTGTTTCCTGAAAATGTTACTGAAGCTGAAAAATTTCGTAACTAACTCATTTGCAAGTGTGATTGTAAAAAAAATTTCTTAGATTTAGGTATACTACTGCTTTTATTTATTTATTTAAAAAGCTTTTTTTCATGTATATTCCATTAATTATAATTAGTCATGCTTTTATATATAGGTACTTTTATTCCTCGTCTCATGCTCCAGCGCTTTTATATGCTCTCTTCCATTATTTCATAATTTTAAATAGGTATTCTCTTCCTCATCTTTTCCCCGTTTGTTCCCCATCTGTTTCACGTCTGTTCCCCATCTGTTCCCTCATCTTTTCCCCGTTTGTTCCCCATCTGTTCCCTCATCTTTTCCCCGTTTGTTCCCCATCTGTTTCCCCATCTATTTCACGCCCTGTTTAACTTAGCCTCCCCCCCTCCTGCTCCCCATATATGGGGAGGAGGGGGGGGGCATGTCGGCCGGGGGGCAGACGCTTGCACATTTCAAGGTCGACCTCGGCAGGCGCGGCGCTGGCCGCCCAAAACGCGACCAAAAATCGCCCCTNCTGGATGCCAGCGCATTCACTTGATGGAATAAACGCATTTAAATTGTAATATGCCATCATTAGGTTCAACATTGCCATCAACTTCTGCGCGCTGACCAAATCGGAAAATGGCCAAAATCTATGAATTGACCCGAAAAAAGCCGTTTAACTACATTGAATTTCAGCTGGTTTTAATTATTTATTATTATGATAATAAATTAAAAAAGTATGATAAAAAAGTATTGAATATATGATAAAGATTCATAAAAAGTATGAGCCACCGTACCGCCACCTTGCGACGTTCTCTGAGCTTCCTTATCAACAACGTCACGGAAAATGACGGAACGTAACGGTTACGTTGCATAACCGTTACGTTACTTTGACTGGAATGGACGTCATCGTTACCGCAATTCTCGGATTATGTAGTTCATACTTGATGAATATGTACGTATTTATTTATTAAAATATTACGAATGTATGTGATGCCATACCATCTGCCATGCGATGTGTTGGTAAAGCAAACATCGTGATTATTTAATGAAGAAATCTTTGTAAATTAATTTAAAATGAAATAATTATGGTAAAGTTTTTAATTATTATATGATAATTATGGTACAACGATTATTATAAAAATCGTAATGACTATTCTTATTTTATTATCTAATGATTACAGTTATTATTTCAAAATACTAACCATTCATATTGAATTTAATAAAGATTTTATACACAAACTAAAACAGCACGTTTAACTTAACCACATATATTTCGCAATTTGTCTATTCTATGCGTCACTATATACGCCTCAGATTTTAGCGTATACATGCATCGCCATTAATATATTATTATTATATTATTATATTAATATTATCATCTATCTTCTATGCGACTCTATTTTAATGAGACCATTAACCTGAACCATTACCTGTTATTATCTTCACCATTTTTCACGCTCTATATCTCAATGCTGATAAAACCTTTCGTTTTCTGCTGTCCTAACCACGGCTGCGCAACAACGTTTTTCTGGCGCTTCCTTCACATGAAGCAAGTAGCTGTGGCAGTAACAGTAACAGCAGTAACAGTGACAGCAGTAGCAGTTATAGCAGTAACAGTAACAGCAGCAACAGTACCAGCAGTAATAGTAACAGCAGTAACAGTAACAGCAGTAACAGTAACGGCAGTAACAGTAACAGCAGCAACAGTAACAGCAGTAACAGTACCAGCAGTAACAGTAACAGCAGTAACAGTAACAGCAGTAACAGTAACAGCAGTAACAGTAACAGCAGTACAGTACCAGCAGTTACAGTAACAGCATTAACAGTAACAGCAGTAACAGTAACAGCAGTAACAGTACCAGCAGTAACAGCAGCAGTGAAAGTGACAGCGTAAGCAGACCGTGACGTTTACTTCACTCAGGACGAGACCGTGACAGATATTCGTGCAGTGCAAGCAGCACGATTTCGTACGATGCAGGAAATCGTCTCGTAATGGGACGATAAAATCGCCACGCGATTAAAAATTATAAAGGACGATTATAATTATCAAGTAGAAAAACATCTATTAAAAATTGAAATTAAAAGTAAGTTGTAAGATATGTTACTGGGGGAACTATGCTGAAGAATTTTAGGATTATTTCATTTTATATAATTTTTGTGTAGCAATAATTTCGTATGAAAGCTTTCAGGCAAAGGTAGAAGATCTTTTAACATATAATTAAGTTGTATAGGTAATTTTTATGAATCACGATTGTTTACGGGATTACAGTTGTTTTAATTACTGTCGTAAATCTTCATTGTAGAAAGTCAGTAAAAAAATGATAATAAAAAGCATTTTTGTTCGGATATTCAACTTTGTTATGGAAATTCTGATTTCGGATATCTTCAGTGTTAATTTCCTGTATTTTTCCTAATCCTAGAAAATGAATACTAATAAAAAAATAACAGAAATGGATACTTTATTTCGATCCTATCATTTCACTCAAAGTTCGCAAGGGTGGACTTCATTTACAAAGGATTTAAGGTCGCAGTATTACTGCACTGTAGTCTAGCCGTATAATTTTCACTTCGATTTACTGTATCAGACATATCGTGCATGCTTTGCTTGTATATATTCCAACATTAAATTTATATCTCTTAAGTATAATCTTTTTATAAATATAAAAATAATCATATGTCTGGCGATAACCTAGGTTGATGAAGAACATAAACTAGTTCATTGACATTTATCATTTATGTTATTTATAAGTTTATGACATTTACCATCCAAAGTGAAAAAGATTTTCTCTCAACCTTTAGCTATACCTTTTGATAATTGAATTATCTCTACATTATAACTTGTGTCGAGTAACAAGGAAAATTTCCGTTAATCGTTGACTATGTTTCAAATTTTCATGTGGATAATAATTTTGATTTTTAAAGTTTTCAAAGTCAACTAGAGCAAATAATCAAAAATTTAATTTTTCCTCCCAACAGATGCATCATCCACACCGCCGGATAATCGAAGTGCTAGTGTATGGTTAGGCTCTGCCTGCACCATGGTGACTATACGTAACTAGATGGTGTTCACCATACAAAATACGTAACTAGAAGCTGATCACTATACAAAACTAATAGGATTTTGCCCCAAATTATGATGCTAAAATCTGTGAAGCCACGTCTAGGGTAACTTGGACCAGGACAAAACTAGAGTCTTCAGCCGCTGTATGAAGCGCGAGATGCTGTGCGACCAAGTAAAATTTGTCTTCATCTGAAACTCGAAAGGCATTTCTACGTGATGATTGCTACAGAAAACTAGGAGGTCCTTTCATCAGAGATGATTCCTACAGACAACTAGGAGGTCATTTCATCCAAGATGTTTCCTACAGACAACTAGGAGGTCCTTTTATCCAAGATGATTCCTACAGAAAACTAAGAGGTCCTTTCATCATGATGATTCCTACTGAAAACCAAAAGGTCTTTTTATCCAGGACGATTCCTGCAGAAAACTAGTATCGCCCTAGCGATGATGCCCTCAATCACCTACAGCTGGATCGGGCAGTGTGCTGCTGCGCCCTTGGTGTTGCTGGGGAGTGCGTGGGTGCTGGGGGTGTTCCACTCCTACAGACGCCATTGGGTCTCAGTGGACCTCTTCCTTGTGGCCATCACCTCCCAGGAGCTGGTGATGGCCCTGCAGGTTTTCGCTTACGCACTACTGAGTTTGCTCCAGCCAGAACTAGATGGCGTTTGTGGCGCACTAGTGTGGAGTCTTAACGCCACTCGTAGCCTGCAGTTTGCCACTGTGGCGTCACTACTGGCTGATCGAGCCCTGACTTGCCACTGGCCATACCGGTACAGGTTCAGCGTCCGCAGGCATCAGCTACGTTACCATTTAGGGGTCTTGGCCGCCATGGCATCACTTCTTGGTGTTGCCGCCCTCATGGCAAGACCTCAGGACCCCTCATATTTCCCTCACTGCGCCACATTACCTCATGTGCTGCATATACGCCTGGCACTGTTCATGTTGGCTGTTTACGGAGTGTTCCTGTTAGGCGGTGTTCTCAGCATCGCCGTGGTACAGACCAGCAGGGGATGCTGCTCATCTGATGTGGACTTAATGGACTTGGGAGCTACAGGGGCCACGAACACGACTTCTTCCACGTCTTCCACCAAAAGACCTTTGCCACCCTCATCCACCAACACCGTCAGCAGCCACGGCAGTAAAGTGCTACCCTCTAGAGCCTCTTCCACCTCATCCATGGGCCCCGGTGGTGGAAGGGGGATGAGGACTGCTTCATCCACCACAGACTTGCTTCCAGCTCCAGCAGCTACTAGACCTGGAGTGCTGAGGACTTCCAGCTGTGCTCCAGCTGGTGGCAGTGACTTCAGATGGCGCACCACCATCTGCGTGGTGCTGCTCGCTTGTCTCATCAACCACCTGCCGTATCTCGTGAGTACTTTGTTTTTTTAAACCTTTTGTGTGCCGATGGTAACCCTCGTTACCAGCAAAGGGTTAACCCTCTGTCTACCAAAAATAACTCTCGTTACCATCAAATGGTTAACCTTCTGTCTACCAAAGGTAACTCTCGTTACCAGCAAAGGGTTAACCTTCTGTCTACCAAAAATAACTCTCGTTACCATCAAATGGTTAACCTTCTGTCTACCAAAGGTAACTCTCGTTACCAGCAAAGGGTTAACCTTCTGTCTACCAAAAATAACTCTCGTTACCATCAAATGGTTAACCTTCTGTCTACCAAAGGTAACTCTCGTTACCCGGCCTGTAGGTACGAATAGCATTGACGACTGTTAATGTATTCGTATATTTATGAATGAATGGCAACTATTCGTACATTTATTTACGAATAGCATTTGACGGTCAATGTATCCGTAGACGAAAGGTTAACTTTTACAGACTTTTGACATATTTTAATTTCCTTTATTTTCCTTGCTTACCAACGAGGTGGTTGACACGTAACTCGAGTATGGGTTGATCTAAATTATTGAATGAAATAGAACTTTATAGTTAATCTTTAATTTATAAAATAGAAAATCTGATTGTCAAGTGACCATGCAATGCATTGAGCTCCAATGCAGTTTGGAACGTTAAAATTATAAATTAATGTTTAATTACTAACATTTCATTGATGACATGCTAATTCCCTAACAAAATTTAGAGTCGCCCCAGCTTCTGGTAATCCTAATCAGAAGCTGTCGCGATGTTATGGACCGCGTATGCGCATGCGCCGTGCCCCGTTGAACGCACTTACGCACGACCTGACGCGCTCGACTGCGCAGCGTGTGAGCGCAGTTGGAGATACGCTCCCTATACGCAACATGCGTATTAAAAGCGTTGATATTTCTAATATATTTATATAGTGAGATCTCACGTATTTTAAATTTATTGCAATTTGATATAATTATCAATATAGGAGTATATCAATCTTTGTTTTTCGAAAATAATATACGAAAATAATATGTATAAATTATTCAATCACTCTTAAAATATCAAATATGCCTAAATTAGAAACCGCAATAACGGTAAGAGAGTTACAATTTCTGCTCTATTCAACTTATAACTGAATCATCAACTTCAGGTCTAAGTGCAGTTGATAAAAATTTTCTCGACGGTGAAATAGAAATCGTTAGATGTCATTTTATTCATATTATGTTATATGAAAAAGCCTATAAAAATTGCNCCGCCCCTGCATGGGCATGTGGGCACCCCACCTCATACCCTCATACCCCGCCCCTGCATGGGCATGTGGGCACCCCACCTCATACCCTCATACCCTGCCCCTGCATGGGCATGTGGGCACCCCACCTCATACCCTCATACCCTGCCCCTGCATGGGCATGTGGGCACCCCACCTCATACCCTCATACCCCGCCCCTGCATGGGCATGTGGGCACCCCACCTCATACCCTCATACCCCGCCCCTGCATGGGCATGTGGGCACCCCACCTCATACCCTCATACCCTGCCCCTGCATGGGCATGTGGGCACCCCACCTCATACCCTCATACCCTGCCCCTGCATGGGCATGTGGGCACCCCACCTCATACCCTCATACCCCGCCCCTGCATGGGCATGTGGGCACCCCACCTCATACCCTCATACCCCGCCCCTGCATGGGCATGTGGGCACCCCACCTCATACCCTCATACCCTGCCCCTGCATGGGCATGTGGGCACCCCACCTCATACCCTCATACCCTGCCCCTGCATGGGCATGTGGGCACCCCACCTCATACCCTCATACCCCGCCCCTGCATGGGCATGTGGGCACCCCACCTCATACCCTCATACCCCGCCCCTGCATGGGCATGTGGGCACCCCACCTCATACCCTCATACCCTGCCCCTGCATGGGCATGTGGGCACCCCACCTCATACCCTCATACCCTGCCCCTGCATGGGCATGTGGGCACCCCACCTCATACCCTCATACCCCGCCCCTGCATGGGCATGTGGGCACCCCACCTCATACCCTCATACCCCGCCCCTGCATGGGCATGTGGGCACCCCACCTCATACCCTCATACCCTGCCCCTGCATGGGCATGTGGGCACCCCACCTCATACCCTCATACCCTGCCCCTGCATGGGCATGTGGGCACCCCACCTCATACCCTCATACCCCGCCCCTGCATGGGCATGTGGGCACCCCACCTCATACCCTCATACCCCGCCCCTGCATGGGCATGTGGGCACCCCACCTCATACCCTCATACCCTGCCCCTGCATGGGCATGTGGGCACCCCACCTCATACCCTCATACCCTGCCCCTGCATGGGCATGTGGGCACCCCACCTCATACCCTCATACCCCGCCCCTGCATGGGCATGTGGGCACCCCACCTCATACCCTCATACCCCGCCCCTGCATGGGCATGTGGGCACCCCACCTCATACCCTCATACCCTGCCCCTGCATGGGCATGTGGGCACCCCACCTCATACCCTCATACCCTGCCCCTGCATGGGCATGTGGGCACCCCACCTCATACCCTCATACCCCGCCCCTGCATGGGCATGTCAAAATAACATATTATTCTTATAATCCACATAGCCACATGAGAACATAGGCGTGTATGTTGCCTTGTTATAAACATGTTGATATGCCCAGCGAATGTGAATATTAAAGCCATGTTAACATGCACCATGTGTTCACGTATGCATAATTCATGTTAACATGAATAAGTAATGTGTTGCTGGGTGGTAACCTTGCTGGTGAGCACGACTTGCGAGTTAATGAGTTGCATGTTAATGAGTTGCTGGGAGGCTGTTCCACATGTCGGTGATTCGAAGCGAGAAGAAATTTTGTCGCGTGGAGAAGTTGCAGCGCAGTTTTTTTAGTTTATAGCCGTGTCCCCTGGTGTTTAGTTTATAGCTGTGGCCCAGCGAATGTAAAAATGAATGCCATGTTAACATGCACCACGTGTTCACGTATGCATAATTCACGTTAACATGAATAAGTGATGTGTTGCTGGGTGGTGACCTTGCTGGTGAGCTGGAGTTGCATGTTAATGAGCTTTGCATGTTAATGAGTTGTATGTTAATGAGATTTCTATGTTTATGAACTTCGCATGTTGAAATGTTTTATTTGATAATAGCTTAGAATATCACGCCTGGAATGCGAAATGACTCTGAATAACCTTTATTTATTCATATTAAGATGCTATCCTCGTTCTGGGTGAATTAGAAATCGAATTCATCTGATGAATACGTCGGCACCTGTAAATAAATTCTTTTTCTAGTTCTAATATTTTAATATATTCTAGTATAATAATTCAAAAGTATACGTATTCAAATTTTTGTAATGAATAAACTAATTCAATTCATTAAACTAATTCAATTTATTATCACCAATTTTCAAAAAAAATCATTTTGCATTTTTTTTATCCAAAGACCTGCAGAAATTTAATTCAAATGCGGCGAAAGCGTAAAACATTGTTTTTTTTCGTCCAAAACTAAAGCATTTATAGTGAAATTTGCGCGCGCTTTGTAACAACTGTTTCTTGGCTGCGATATGGTGAAGTGGTGATTGTGGTGGTGGTGATGGTGATGGCATTCGTGGTGATGATGGTCATAATGATGATCTTAGTGATGTTTTTTGATGAGAGAGATGATGGTGATGATAGTGGCAGTGAAAGTGGTGGTGATGATGGTGCTGGAGGTGGTGAGGGTGTTGGAGGTGATAGTAATGATGGTGGTGGTGGTGATGGTGATGGTGGTGGTGATGGTAATGGTGATGGAGGCACGACGCATCGTACGCGGCCTCCTCCAGCGCTCACGGCAGGTCAAGGTTGTCGGTAATGCCGTACAACTGCTGCTGGCACTAGTTCTAGAGTTCTGGTCTTCTAGAGTTCTAACTATCTAGTTACTTTCTAAAATTCGTTACTTTTTGAGTTCCTGCTTTCTAAAATTTTACCTTCAATAGATTTTCTTCCATGTTTATTTTAGTTCTTAAAATCAAGAGTTCTGACAGTTCTGACATTATCATTCCACGTTCCAAGCTTCGAAATCTCTCAAATTCCTATTCCCTATTTTTCCCTCTTCACCTAATGCATCCCCTGGCCTCCTCCCCCTCTAATAAGAGAGGGGGGATTCCATCCAGTAATTATTCATATTCACCTTCATCCAGTAATTCATCGATGCCAAATCTCAACAAGTTCCCCCAGTTCACATTTCTTCTTAAACCGCAAACGTCGCTTTTCCGTAGCGCCATGAATTTGTTTTAATTATATTAACTTCCGTTATATTTATTTGTTGACTTCCATTATTTTATTAAATTGCCCAAATAAATAAATTTTAATCAATTTCTCCTAACTCGATTATGGCCCATTTCACAGGCCGTTTCTTTGCCCATCTCTTAGCTCTGATTTATTAAAAATTTTCTTAAATGATGAGTTTTGAAGAAAATATTCCGCTGACGTATTTTCGAGGGGATTGAGTACGGTGAGGGGATGTAAGAGATTGGGGGATTGGGGGGAAAGGGGGCGATTGATGGACAGAAAAACTCGGTGGATTCAGGAAACTGAGGGGATTGAGGGAACTGAGGGAAGTGAAGAGTTCTGGGGACTGAGAAGACTGATTGGATTGAGAAGACTGGATGGATTAAGGGGACTGAGTGGATTGAAGGGACTGAAGGTATTGAGGGGACTGAGTTGATTGAAGTTCTGAGTAGATTGAGGGCATTGGGGGAACTGGGGGTATTGAGGGGGCTGAGTGGATTGAGGGGACTGAGGGGATTGAGGGGACTGTGGGGATTGAGTAGATTGAGGGGACTGAGGGTCTGAGGGGACTGAAGTTGATTGAGGGGCCTGAGTAGATTGAGGGAACTGAGGGTCTGAGGGGACTGAAGTAGATTGAGGGGCCTGAGTAGATTGAGGGGCCTGAGTAGATTGAGGGGCCTGAGTAGATTGAGGGGCCTGAGTAGATTGAGGGGACTGAGGGTCTGAGGGGACTGAAGTAGATTGAGGGGCCTGAGTAGATTGAGGGGCCTGAGTAGATTGAGGGGCCTGAGTAGATTGAGGGGACTGAGGGTCTGAGGGGACTGAAGTTGATTGAGGGGCCTGAGTAGATTGAGGGGACTGAGGGGACTGAAGGGCTGAGGGGAACTTCCCACGCTAGTTTCACTAATGATTGACGAGTCTTTGTTTGGGGCGGCTGCGTGGGAATGTTCATGCCTCGACATGGCAATTGTCCTACATTCCTCGAGGTGAAAATTCCTGATTTATGCCTTTCGGTGTAAATGGTGAGGTATGATTTCTCTTCAATGAAGGCTCATATAGTTCATACCTCGTCAGCCAGAATATTATGATATCATGTTGATTAAAATACCTATATGATCTTATAATATCATATAAAATCCTCTATTATCTTATATGATCTTATATCATTACACATGATCTTATATTATCATATATCATCTTATAATATCATATAATATCATCACACCCATGGCTCGGCCAATTAAGAATTTGTCTCGTATATCTCTTTCAATATTAGCATCCAGTTTTTTACACGTGAATCAATAGATTTTTATTCACAACTTGTCAATAAAGTTAATAAAATTATCTGTTTGAATGGTCATATGCTCATGTGCTGCATAATTACTGAGCAAGGTAGACGACATACCGTATATTGTATTAAAATCACTTGTTTGCTTGAATCGCAAGTTAACCAGTAATTTACAAGCAAAAACAATACCACAAAATCTCACCATATCTTTATAAGAGAAAACGTTTCGGAGTGCAGCTCCATCGGCAGCTCATACGAATTTTAGAATCCCTGTATATATTCAAGCAGAAGTCAAGTCTTAATGCCGCTTTTAGCTCCTTCCCTCTTGAAATAGTAAATAGATTGGCCGTTTACTAGCGTTAATTTCATGTCTTATTCATTTATTTTCCGCTTTGAAACCTGACAGTGCATTTTACTTTACTAATTGATTGTATTTGTATTTCTAGGACTGAAGTTCTTCTGAACTAAACTTTGTGTTATGAACTGACGATGGAGCTGGACTCCGAAACGTTTTCTCTTATAAAGATATGGTAAATTTTTTTGGTATTGTCTTTGCTTTTAAATTCCTGCGTTAACCGTATATTGTTTTACGCGGATAAAAATATTGAATTTGATCTACTATCAGTATCAATATTTAAATGTTATGTTTCTTTACAAAAATTGTGTTTCAATTTATTCCAAAATATCCGCTGCTTATAAAGAGTTAAATTTAGTTAATTTAGTTAAGCTCAAGATGAATGAAAGCTACGTAAATCATCGATGTTGATGTTAAATAAATAACTTGGTTGCATTCAAATATTTGTCATTGTCACCACAGTAGCTATTGTAACCACAACCACAGCCGCTATTGTAACCACAACCACAGCCGCTATTGTAACCACCACCACGTCATGACGGTCAGTATTTTACGTCACCACAACCACACCACAACCACAGCCACGTGGTCAGTGGTCACCACGCCCACGCAATCAACCACGCGCGCGTACGTTGCGGTGGTGCACGCAATATCGCGCGTGATGCGCCGAATTTTGTTCGCTTTTAAGTCCTGCTCAAAAATCACGGAAATTTGGGTCTAAAAAGCATCGCTGGCCGCTCATGAACCGGAGATAATTTTGCTTTCTTTTTGATCCGCTTTCACATCTGGGAACTGAATATTCGTATGGAATTCGTGCGATGAATTTTGTGCCGCGCCATTCATTGTATCGATAAAACGTCAATATTTCAAACGTAATTTTTTTCAACAAATATACATTTTACATTTGTATAAAACTGTGCCTATAATTTCATAGGGAGAAATTTCAATTTCCATTTATACAATTAATAAATTCTTTTTCTATTTTAATTTTTATTTGTCTCAATGCAATAAATTTTGTGTGCTGATCCTGCGTGTTACGTGAACGGCTTTCGCTCTCACCTTTCCTTCTCTTCGCCGGAGATCGATAGGCGCTCAATTCTTCTCGAGCTTTCTTTCTTTCCCTGCGAAAGAAAACTTTCTCTAGACGCAGCCTTGCTCTCTCCAACATGGAAAGAAAATTAGGCGCCCACTCAGTGGGACCCGCTGTACTGGCGGTTGCTGCCTCAGTGGGACCCGCTGAACTGGCGGTTGCCGCCTCAGTGGGACCCGCTGAACTGGCGGTTGCTGCCTCAGTGGGACCCGCTGAACTGGCGGTTGCCGCCTCAGAAACGAGTTCGCGCGATGTTAGTTTCCAAGTGACATCATTTACAAGTGTAATGATGTTTATGAATGCGGAAACAGTGACCTGGCCTGGCAGATGTGAGATTGTGTGTCATTGTTTGCAGGGAAGAACCTCCCTCCGTCCTAGTTAACACGTGTATTAATTGCACATTATTATCAAATTATTATTAAATAAGTAAATTAAATTGAATAAATCAGTATTAACATTTAACACTTCCATCAATTACATGTTGAATCTTTAATAAATTAAATTAAAAAGTAGTTTATTAATTTTTAATTAAATAAATTAATAAAATTAATTAAATAGGTATACGTTTAAAACTTCAATTTAATTAATTAATTATTTATTATTACAGACCCTAGTGGCGCTAGGGACGTTCACCCCCCGCCTGCTGCCCCCCCTGCCCTACGAGCACCTGCTGCTGTGGCTGAGTGCTGCTGAGGGGCTGCTGCTGCCGCTGCTGCTGCTGCTCAGTGACGTCACCTTCAGGGGGGCGGCTACTGCTGCCTGCTGCAGGGGCGCCCGCCCCCCACCGCCCCCCGAGGGGCGTGACTTTAAAGGCACGTGTAAAGGCCTGTTTAAAGGCACGTGTAAAGGCATGTTTAAAGGCACGTGTAAAGGCATGTTTAGAGGCCTATTTAAAGGCACGTGTAAATGCCTGTTTAGAGGCCTATTTAAAGGCACGTGTAAATGCCTGTTTAATTAAGGGGACCGTTTCGGTCAAAAATCTGAAATTGTGGCTTTTCCGTTTTTCAGTATCATTACAGAGGTCCAAAAAATGCGCATCTAATGAGCCCAAAACCATTTTTGTGCGTTAATCTGTTCGTTCACGACAGCCGTCGAAGTGCTTGGCTGAGTGCTGCTGAGGGGCTGCTGCTGCCGCTGCTGCTGCTGCTCAGTGACGTCACCTTCAGGGGGGCGGCTACTGCTGCCTGCTGCAGGGGTGCCCGCCCCCCAGCGCCCCCCGAGGGGCGTGACTTTAAAGGCACGTGTAAAGGCCTGTTTAAAGGCACGTGTAAAGGCTTGTTTAAAGGCACGTGTTAAGGCCTGTTTAGAGGCCTATTTAAAGGCACGTGTAAATGCCTGTTCAGAGGCCTATTTAAAGGCACGTTTTTAAAGGCCTGTTTAAGGGGACCGTTTCGGTCAAAAATCTAAAATTGTGGCTTTTCCGGTTTTTAGTATAATTTTAAAGGTCCAAAAGATGCGCATCTAATGAGTCCAAAACCATTTTTGTGCGTTAATTTGTTCGTTCACGACAGCCGTCGAAGTGCAAATAAAACTTATACCTTCAATGATGACAAATTTCAGTTTTTCGGCTCTCCTGAAAAATTTAAGTTTTGCACCTTAGAAATCTATCTCCTATGATTTCCAAGCTACAGCAATGAGAGATATACCATTCGATTTGTAAGAAAAATCTCTAGAAACCATCAAATCATTTTTTTTCGATTTCGTTATAGTTTGGATTATATACTGGAAAAAGAGGGTCAGGGTAGGGGAAAATTTGCAACTTTTGGGAAAATTTTGGAAAATCCCCCCTCCCTCCCGAACAAATTCGAAATTCAAGAAAATGGTCGGTTGGATTTTAGATATGTTCGTTACAAATCTAATGAGCTGTCTCTCGATGTCGTAGCATGTTTAATGAATGAGGAGATAGATTTCTACAGTACCCTCTTTTTTAGCCATTTTCTATCAATTTCACGTTTTCTTTCTTTTTTTTTCGAAAAATTCACAGGAACAAAAAAGTCATCGATTTCTGTTTTACATATGTGTACCAAGTTTCAAAACGATCCGTCCGTAAATAAAAAAGTTTTTTTTGACTGAAACGGTCCACTTGAAGGCACGTGTAAAGGCTTGTTCAAAGGCAGGTGTACAGCAGTACAGGCCTGTTTAAAGGCACGTTACGAGGTATAATAATAAACATGTTCAAATGCTGGTCTGAAAAATAACAGTAGGCCTACTCTAAAGCATGCTAAAAACGCGTGTTTTTAAACGAGTGTTCATATATATTTCGTGCCACTACATTCGTCAAGCAAACCTTACAAAAACCAAGAAAAACTAAAACAAAATAATTGCATGAAAATTTTCTTTCTAAGTTTTAAATTGTTTTTAATATTCTAATGAACAAATGCATTGACTTTCACGACGCATAGAATATTAATTTTTTATTGCGTTTATTAATTATTATCAATGTTTTATTGCGACTTGCTGCGCTCAACTTGAAAATAAAGCGGAAATATTTCGCTATTTTTATTAATATTTCGTATTACTTTAATTCTCTTTTAAAGAACCTCCTGGTGATTGATTAATTATTTTAAAAAAATCAAATCGTCGCTGATTTCATAAGAATTTTTTCGTTTTTTTTTTGTCATAATTTTCATAATGAATTTCAATGTGTAATTTATAGTAAATAAAAGCCCTGGAGAATATATGATGACGCTTTCTCTTTATAGTTTGGGGATATTTATTTAATTTTATTCATTAAATATTAATTTAGTTTGGGGGGGATATTTATTTCATTTATTTATTTATTATTGATTTAGTTTGGGATATTTATTTCATTTATTTATTTATTATTAATTTAGTTTGGGATATTTATTTCACTTATTTATTTATTATTAATTTAGTTTGGGGGTATTTATTCCAATTCTATCCCCCAGATGGGGAGGCGCCATTCCGGCTCTTCCCCAGAGACGAGGCTAAGCTCTTCCCCCTGACCAACGGCTCCCTCTTCTCTTCCCTCCTCTCTCTCCCCAGCGACGCTCCTCACCCTCCTCCCCTCTTCAATCCCCGAACATACCGCAAAGGTTCGTATTTGTATATATTAAAAATTTTAATAAACCGGTAATTAATAAAAATTTCATTGATTTATCATTTTATTAGTCTTACTTACAAAAATAACAGGTTATTGTGAATATTCGTTTAAATGGCAGGATTTACGGTAGTCAAATTTGCCTTCATTTTCACTACAATGAATTTCTCAACAATATCTATTTGTGATCGCGTATGATAATTTATTTTTAATTAAGGTTATTGAAATTCTTATTTACACTGAAAAAATTCTGTTAAACGATTTAAATCCAGAAAAATATAATATTTTCCAATTGTGTAGAAATGCAAAAATTAAAAAAAAAATTATCGTCATTTTAGGGGACAAAAAAAAAAAAAAATTTGGGCTCATTCATGTAAATGAATTTGTAAGACTTAACAAAAAAATTTCAGGAAATTTTTATTAGGTTTAGAGCTAACAAAACATTTTGGGATCGTTGACGCAAGTTCCGCTGACCAGGAGCGAGTGACACCGTGCGGACGGAGGATCCCAGTCCGCGGTTTAGAGACCTCCGCCTTTTAGGGAGCAGCGCGTCGTCGGGTAGGGAGCACGTGCCGTACAACGCTCCCTACTACTGCAGGGACCTCAACAACTCCCTAACGTCCCTCAATAACAACAGGGACCAACTCTACTCCCACCCCAACAACAACGTAAAAACTCCGTTAATTTCTTGTTTTGCATTTACATAGCGTCAATGTATTTATTTATTTTGGCCTAATTTCTTATTTTTTTTTTGTTTGTTACGGAACTTTTATAATCCGTATATTTCGTGCTTACATTTGTTAATTCTAATTATTATTTAATTATTGTGTTTAATTGTCAATTGTTATTGTGTTTGTTTCTGAACATCTATAGTTTTTGCGATTGTGATCTTTGTTTTTTATCTATATAAACATTATTTACATAATTTATTATCATCTTTATCATATTTCCATCTTCTTTTTCATTTTTTCTTTTTAACAGGAAAATGCTCGATAATATCCGGCAGAATTTATCAATCTTTTTTTTTCCTTGATCCTGCCAAGAAGTATATTCCTCAAGAACATAACATAACGCTTCAATTCCAACATCAGAAGCTAGGGATTTAATAGTTATTTTTCACCCTTTATTTATTCATTATTCCGAAAGCTCATGGGAATATTCATCGAAACTTGCATTACATTTATTCACATTTACTTCTTGGTAATGGTACTCAATATGAAGTAATTTTGACTAATATTAATGAAGTAATTTTGTAGTAATATTATAAAGTAATTTTGAATAATTTAATTTATTTTGATTACTTCACGTTGCTTTGCAGACATCGATGATCGACAACTCATTCAAAATGAATTAATTTTTCGTTGATTTTGCAGACCTCGACGATCGACAGCTCGGTCAAAGAAGACCACATTTACGCCACTCTGTCCGAGACGTTCGGTTCGACGTCGTCTTTCAGTGACGGGTTCCTGAACGACGAAGCCCGTTGCCCGTCCGTGACGACGGTCGCAAATGACGATTTTGAGTTCCACGACCCAAGAACCTCAGGTTCTAGCATCGACTTCTACCAAATGCAAGCTAGGAACCCTTGTCTGCGTCAACAGAGCTACAGTTCTTCGTCGTTCTCAAGCTCTAGCGAGGTTCTCAGTTGCGGATCACGTGCCAAAGATGACGACACTTTGGTTCTTTGTCGTCCACGAAAACCACCAAGAAGTCTTGTTCGAAGACCTCCAGCAGAGTTACCCCCGGAGGCTCTCGGTTCTCGAGTTTTGCCTAATAATTATAAATCACCTCCACGAATTCCTCCTAGAAATCACGGAGCAGATGTTATCTTGGAAATGAACCAACAGAATATCACGTATTCTGCCAAGAAGCCTCCGATGCTCAGGCAGTGTTCTCGGCCTCATGCAGGGTTCGACAACTTGGCTTTTGATAGCGATACTCTTGAGAAAAAATACAGCATGCAGCGGAACACAGAGAAAAAATACTACCCAACTAATTCTCTTCATAGTACAGACTTGCAGGCAGGGAAACCTAGACTGAAAAACCGTTTCCTTGAGGAAGATAATCATGAAGGGACTCTTTCGAGGAAGCATCGCGTTTCTTCGCTGTCCATGAGCGACCTCGACAGGTTAGACCACAAGAATAGTGAAGAAGGGGAAGAACAAATGATGTTCCTCCTGCCAGTCAAAAGCGAATCCATGCTCAGTCTTTATAGACTTTATTTGGCCGAAGATGATGAGTCGTCAGGTCTACGCTACACCATCGAGGTTTCGAGGTCGGAAAACGACTTATCGTCCTCCGCTGGCGATGACCGAAACAGAGCAGATTACGGCCGATTTTTTGACGATTTGTCCACTTCGCCCCACGAAATCTACCAAAAACGACGTCGTCCCCAATCATCTGCCAGTAAAATTCGCCGTCAACACAAAATTCAACGCGCCAAAGGAGTTCAAATGAAGAACAAGCCTCCCGCTTCTCCGACCCGAGCATCGGATCTCGAGTTTTACAAAGAAAATAGGAGGAATTCTTCGCCAAACATCGGGGTTTCTTTTGGGGATCAAGCCCCGGACGGAGGGGTTCGAGTGGCGATAGTGGATAAAACCCGACGTCAGAACGGCATCATCACTATCAGGGACCCGTCGGGTCTATCCGTCCAGGATCTGCTGGGCGTTCTCAACCGGGCGGCAGCTACTTCTTCTGGTACTTTGCAACCGAAACCCGTTAGCGTTCCTGCTCCGACCAACAAACGCCCAAAAACTATAGGCGTTTCCGCTTTGCCTAATCCTGCAAAAAACGAGCCCCAAATTTACAACATTTCTTCTTCGTTGGGTTCTACGGAACCCCAACCTTTAGGCATTTTGAACCCAGCAACTCCTTCGCAGGGGTCCGCGCAAAATGAGTTGGAGGGTCAGAACCAATTTTTGTTGTCGACTCCACGACGTAACTTTCTCCCCACCTACAGTTTCGGATCAGAGACCCAAATCTCCTCCGAGAACAATCTCGCCTCGAGTAACAATCTTCCCTTGAGGAATTATCTCCTCTCGAGCAGCAATCCTTCCTCTAGTAACAATCTTCCTTCGGGCAGCAATCCTTCCTCTAGTAACAATCTCCCTTCGGACAGCAATCTTCCTTCAGGCAACAATCCCTCCTCGGTGTACGAAACAGCAATCAGGATTCCTTGCGTTAACGTAAAAAACCCTAACTTTATTTCACAAACAAACACTGCGCCGGAATTCAGGAAAATATTCCTTAGTGAATATCTGTGAACACGAGTTTCATTATTCAATATGTGTTGAATAATGTTCAGTTGGCTCACTGTTGGAAGTGATCAGAAAAATTGAGTGACACCATTGAGTAACTGTTGAATTAATTCGGTAATTTCCCTATTAATGCAGGTATACTGTAGCAGATATTATATTCGTGTAGCTTAGATTACATACGCAACGATGACGCATTTTGTATGCGTTTTAATGGTTTTGAAATCATTAGATTGTACTTCCTGTACATTCTTCGTACTATTCACATTGATGGCAACCTTGAAACAATGTCAAAGCGTCCAATATATAACCTGATTAAAAGTTGTTAAGAAATTAGATTAGCGTTAGAAATTACAATTCTAACTTCGTATAACTTTATATTGTACGTATTTTTTAAGTTAAATTTGTACGTTATTATTCTACGTTACCAATTTGACCGAGAGGTTACGTACTGATTGTTAAATTGTACGTAAAAATCCACGCTATTTATGCTTAGAATAATTTAATATTCGAATTAAATTATTGTGTAGTCTGCATGTATTTTGTATGTATAATAATATACAGGCGTTCTACTAGAACTAGTTCAGTGCATCAGCGCCTAGTGAAGATTCTAGTTAATACTAGTACTAGTTGATGGGACCTAGCAGTCGTGCAGGATATTTCAGTGCCTCACGACACCTCAGTGCCTCACGACACCTCAGTGCCTCACGACACCTCAGTGCCTCACGACACCTCACCATGTATTTTTCTAGCACATTCAGAAACAATACAGAAGCACACATGTGTACAATACAGAAGTATTCATGTGTACTCTGTACAATATTTATACAGGGCGCATGTGAGCTACTTTGTACGTACGTAAGCGTTATACATCTTCCATATTTTCATATAAATGTTCTAATTAAGTACAAAAGCTTTTGTACATGGCAGAACGATAGTTATTTTTTCGTCATTTTTGCCTATTGTGTTGTATTATCTATTATAGATTTATTGCATGTCATATAGTTTATAAATTTCAGTGTAAAACATTTATCGTTTGAATCTACCATATTTCGAATAAGTATATCTGTAAATATGCAATATATAGTATAGATTAATTTTGCATGGCAGTTCCATGCATCTTATTCATATATGACGTCATCATGGCGCTGGGTATGAAACATAGATAATATTATAAATGTTGACTTTTATATATATATTGAAATCTTGGTCTGTCGACGTTCACAATAATCCTGAAATATAATAATCCTAATCACGCTTTATAATATGCACATATGAATATAGTGAGAAAAAAATGAACACTATACAAATAATAATAATTAAGAGATGTTGAACCCTGGCAAAATACCGGAATGTTTAATGTATCTATTGCTAAATTATTCGTGGAATTCTTAGATTTGTTATTTTTTAAATGTCTAATTAGTAATAAATGTATTAGTAAATACAAAGTAATTTATTCAGGACTCCTGACGGCGTATGTGCTGCATGCAGCCTATAGGTACTAAATACTCATATAATGTACACACACATAAATATACATCATATATAAATATACATGTTGCGTGACCACAGCATTAACATTCTCATGACTCGTACATCTCTACGTATGTAATGTACCCTAAACACGTACATACTCTATATATATCCTCTTTCAGGATTGCTTAATATCCTTTTTCAGGTAAGAATAACTTTATGAATTAAAAATTGAAAGTTTTTTCTGACTTCAAACTCTCATTTTTCATCGCGAAAAACAAGCCCAGGTTTTGCCATTAAAATACAAAATGTCGCCCATTAAGAAGCAATTCAAAAGACTGATCCTAAAAAGCATTTCCAAGCACCGATTAAATACAATATTAAAATAAAATGATTAATGTATCCATATACACACTATGAATTATAGAGACAGTCTCAGAGAAATAAAGGATGGAGTCACGTATCACCAGGAAAATGACTGGATCATTTTGTCCAAATACTGATCCACTTTTATACCAAGAAGTACCGGTAGCACGGATACGCCCTTTGGCGTCGTCAAAATGGTTCAGGGTGACCCACATAATGACAGAAAGTGCATTAATATTTGAACAAAGTCTCAATTGTTTTTTTAGAGCACGTGGAACGATACGGTTAGCACAACAATGCTATGGAGTTTATAGCATTAAATTAAGAGGGCTAAGCGGTGCACATAATATAGATATTAGCGGACGTTTAGAATCGCATATACAACAATAAACTATCACTAGAGTGCCATCACAACAACAGTTTGCACAATAAGAATTACACAACGGAAGTTTACACAACAGGAAGATTGCACAACTGAAAAAATCGTGAAATTTCAATTTCCAGCGTTGCACACTGTGACTTACAACGGCAAGTGTGCATATCAAGTTCGCACAACCAATAGCGTAACAGAAAATTAACACAACAATTTTGCAAAACGTTAATCACAACAGCGAACAGTTTGCACAACAGAAGTTTAGCTATTTTCTGATATCCTTAATAACATTAATTTTCATACATGAACTAAATCATTATTGAAGAAGATATCCTTGAAGGTGAATGTTTCTGCATTCACCAACATTGCGGGACGGCGGACCCCAATGATGTTCACTAGCATACACGATCATACATTTGTCCACACATGACTTTCCATGACCTGAAATGAAATTCAATGACTTTTCAGGCCTGGAAAATGAAAAATCAAATTCCACGACCTTCCAGGTTTTCCATGACCGGTACGCACCCTTTCATAATGATGACGATCATACATTTGTCCACACAGAGAAGTTGCGAGCGCACACACGGCAATATCGACAAGAATGCTTATTAATGATTCATTTAAAGGGTTAACTTCAAGCTAATAAAAAATTACAGCATGTTGTAAAATTACTATTATCATACTAAAAATCAAATTACAGCTCATTTCAGTGCAGCACGAGTAAATAGTTCTAGTAAAAAGCAATACTATTCACTATTTTATTTCAGAGGAAATGCAAACACCATCGTAAGAACATCAGCACAAATGAGCAAGACTTTGTCCAAGAAACTCAAGCAGCTTTGATAATATTGTTTGAATTATGTTCAGCTTCATCAATTATCATTAAAAGAAGGAGATTGGATTAAAAATGAGGCGAATGCAGAAGTAATTAAAAACCTATTGATGAAATTTTATGAATTTGTTCATAGTGAAATATAAGTTCATACATAAACGGAATTTATTATATAGACAAAAAATCCATTAAAGGTTTATCAGAGCAAGAGATAACGTCCGACTAGCTTGCTCTTATCTGAAGGAACAGGTTAGCCACCCCTAGTGATCTAGGTCCACCTAATTGCCTAACATGCTAGATCCACCCATAGGTGCCTAATATACAACTAGGTTATTCTAGGTGCCTGATAAGCTAATTCTACCTCTATATGCCTAATACGCTAGGCAGTTCTAGGTGCCTGATGATCTAGGTCCACCTATAGGTGCCGAATGCGCTAGTATCTTCTAGGTGCTGAATGCGCTAGGTTCACCTAGTCAGGAATAGTTCACAATGAAGCCACCCTCACAAGAGCGAGAAACATTTCAACTTGATATTACGTGGTCACTTTTGCTCAGTCAAAATATAGAGGAGTAGAAAAATATAGGAAAAATGTACGAAATTATAGAAAATTTACGAAATTCATGATTAATTAGAAGATAGACGATTAATACAAACTTGAGCTTCATCATTTAACATTGAAAGAAGTGAACTTAATTAAATATGCCCCCCGTTCTTTGGAGGCAGCTGCTCAGGTTCGATGTTTGTCCCAGAAAATTGGGTTGCACCAAATCAATATTGGGTTGCGCAATAAAAATGTCGGGTTGCACCATAAAAATATCGGGTTGTACCAAATCAATGTTTGGTTGCACCATAAAAATATCGGGTTGCATCATAAAGATATCGGGTTGCATGCACATTAAAGCCAAAAATCTCAGCTCAAGAGGTCGGAAATATCCGACGACGACAGAGGTTTTACCGGCGTCGGGTTCTGTTGGGTCGCCGACACATTTTGTCGGGGAGTTAATATGGCAGAATTCATCACATTTATTGCATTCATACTCATGTTATTCATCGAATTAATACCCATGTTATTCATGGTCGGCATAGCCATGTTGTTCATAGAGCCCATGCCCATGTTGTTCATGGAATTCACACCCAAATTATTCATATTAACAGTCATGTTATTCATGGTATTGATACTCATGGAATTCATGTTCACGGGACCTGCGGAATTCATATTATTAACTGCAAAGCCTTGATTGAAATTGGGCGTGGCCCAGTTCTGGGCTTGCATGGTCCCAGTCGAACCCCAATTTTGTGCTTGCATGCCTCCTGTTGCTGCCCAATTTTGTGCTTGCATGGTCCCTGTAGGCGCCCAATTTTGGGTCTGGGCTTGGACATTCATTTGAGCCATGGGCAAAGACTTAGTAGGCGGCGAAGGCAAGAGATCATCAAAGGCGGCCAAGCCTCCAGGATTTTTCGTAAGGTTAGACGAGGCAGTTGCTTTCAGGATCATGGGTCCAGGAGTGCCTTTAGTGCTGTTGGTGAAAGAGTTGCTGTTAGTGGAGGCATTGCTGTTGGTGAAGGAGTTGCTGCTGTTGGTGAAGGAGTTGCTGCTGTTGGTGAAGGAGTTGCTGTTGGTGGTGAAAGAGTTGGACGTTAGGGAGGTGTTGGCGAGATGGTATTGGGGAGGAGGAGGGAGAGGGGAGGCAGGCAGAATCCCCGTAAGGTCCTTGGGGCTGATGTTGCTCTTGGGGACCAGGCCGCTGCTCCTGCGAACACATGAACTTTATTAACTGAGTTTTCATAATTTTCATCGCAGTAAACAGGGAGTAATATTCATAAAGTAAATAGCAGCGAACTAATGCGTAACATTGAACAAAGCAGCCAACAATTGATTGAACTCACCAAAATAATAAGTCACCTTGGACGTAAAATGGATCACTTTTACCTTCAGATTATTTAAAGAATTCCGAACAGAAAAAAAAAATAAATGAACAAGCAAATGTTCTTTACTTATCGGCGGAGGAGGGAGTAAGAGTCCCACAGGAATCTGCTCCAGGAGGGGGACCAGCTGGGGACACGATAGGGGATTTCGCTCCCGTGTGTCTGGGGGACACGTATTGACCCAGCCCCAGCCCAGCAAACATAGAGTCCAGCTCTGAGTCTGGGCCGCCACTCTGGATGCTGGGCTTTGAGCTGGACGCGTCAGGCATCATCTGGTGCAAAGTCTTCTGTTCATCCTTGATGGAGTTGAGGTATTGAAGTTTATCCTTTTGCTCAGCCTCGACTTTGTCCACCATGTCCCTGATGAGCTTCATGAGCGTCGCGTGCTGCTGGATGGACAGGCAGGATTCGATGGACAGCGGCAGCAGGAAGGGCAGGATCTTGGTGGCCATCACCTCCTTCGTTAGCCCCAGCGACGAGGACGTCAGGGATACCTGCAGGATACCCGTAGCGGCCATGATGACAGGAGCCTCCCTGGACGGTAGCTGCGTCACGAAGGGCACGACGGAGTCCAGCACGAGCCACTTATCCAGCTGGGGCAGCAGGCGCCCCACACACACCAGGCAGCTCACACGTACCGAGAGGTTAGTAGTGGAGAGACAGAGCTTCTGTATCCTTGGTAGGAGATGTGTCTTCATGGTAGTTTTGTCCAAGTGTCTAGCGCAGGCGGGCAGGGCTGCGAGACACAGCTCCTGCAGGGACGAAGTGTCCGTGTCTAGCGCCCTGTATAGCAGTGGTAACACATCACTGCGCACGTCACTAGCAGGTGTCTTCGTCAGCAGTAAGCTCATCTGCTGCATCAGCTGCACCAGCACCTGAACGGGCTCAGTGAGCCTCATGATGGGCTTGAGGTGAGGCAAGACGTGCTTGACGAACTCCTCGTCAGTAGCTCGCTCGGCCACCAGCAGCACGACGGGCAACACGAAGGGCACCATCGACGGGTTGACGGTCTCCTGCACCACAGCCGGCACCACCCTCAGGAGAGCAACCCTGTGTGGGAGTTGCGGGATAAGCTGCGGAAGGCCCTTGTAGAACTGACTCTTCTGGACGTTGTCCCACTGGAAGAGCTGGTCCAGGTAACTCAGCGTCTTCACACTCAAGTCACTGAAGTAACCAAGCTGGCTGAAGTGGTGGGGCGTGGGGCGGGTGCTGGGGGTGGGGCTGAGCAGACGACGGACGTCATCACGCAGCGGCTCTGGCACACCCGTCAGCTGGTGTCCCGACACCCGCGCCAGCTGCACACGGGCACGGGGGAGTAAGAGAGCTACTTAGTTACTTATTACTAGCGTTAACTTAGAACTAATTATAACTATCATAACATATATATAGTGATAGTCAACATAAATACATGCTAAGATCTAAAAAAATTGGTAAAGTGCCCCAGGACATAACGGCCCAAACTTCCACGATCGTAAGGATCAATAACATTAGCCATAATTCCACGCAGTGATGTTACATTTGTTATTTCTGAGTAATGAATGTTACAGGTAGGTTACTTATAATCCTACACGCCCCTCCTACAGCACCAACCTCCCGCCACGCCTTCTTGTAGCCCTCGATGTCCCCTTTATGGGCGGTGTAAGGGCGGCCAGCGTTGAACACGGCCGTGACCAGCACCCCCACACTGTACATGTCCGCAGGGGGGCCGACGCTCCCCCCCTCGTCCAGGATACACTCAGGGGCCAGGTACTCGAGGGGGGGCAGGCAGGGGGGCGGCAGGGAGGGGCGGTACTCGGGGAACTGCCATGACGGCTGTAAAAATTGAAGTTGTTTAAAATTATATCAGATTAACTTGTAAAATAGTCACAGAATATAAACTATGAGAGTTTATACCAGTTCCAGAAGAACAGGAATCATCGTGTAGTGTAGGCCTATATATATTGAAATTGATATTTAAACATGAACATAAAAAACAGAGATAAATCATTGTCTGACTTCTTGAATCAATCCACCTAAGAAACAGTTCTTTCTTGAGTTAACCTCGTCATAGTCGTTTTGCCCCTTGTCAGTTCATCTCCAGCACCAGACCAATAGACTTGCCTCACACTCTTCAGTCGCATCTTAGCCTCTCCTCAACCTTGGTGTAGTTAATTATCTTAGAAGTTCCGACTTTCTACCATCGGGACCTTTACACAACAATTAAAAAAATAAACTTACAAACTCTTCATATATAACCAAATAGATACCTAATTTCAAATAATAGTCTTACTTTTCCTTGATGTTGATACAAGTGACCATTTGAGACATATTCATTAAAATTTATAGATATACCTGAGCATCTGCACCAAAAAAGTACCAATTTTAAAAATTTCCAATAGTAACGTAAGGCTATTTCTGGTGCAAAATGTGACAATTTCTAATAATATCCATTAAAATATAACAAAAAACCTTGGCATCAGAAGCGGCTGAGTTGGTGAGGCAGAAATCAAAGCCAAAGAGCTTCCAGGCGCCGTGTTGGCTCACGACGACCGTGTCGGGGCTGATGCTGCAGTGCACCGCCTTCACTGAGTCGTTTAGGAACTGCAGGCCTTCACATATCTGACAACGGCATTACCATTTAATGGCAAGTTCCTAAGATAACAATACAGTAACCCGAGTAAAAAAAGTTTTTGATAACCAAGGAACAAAATAATGATATAATATCCTTTGTACAAAACGAGAATTTAATAACATAGAAAATTGTTGTATCCTGAGCACACAACTGTACATGCACAAAGCTTTACGGCACAAAGCTGTACGTACCTGGGGCCGGATTATCGAAACTTCGTAACTTTTTGTACTTATGACAAAAAAGTTATGTGGTACGTAAGTACACCCTAATTTTGGCATTATCAAAACTTTCGTACGCAAGTCTTAGCTAAATGCGTA